AAAATGACACATTTCACAGAACTAGAACAAATACTCCAAAAGTTTATATGGAACCAAAAAAGACCCTGAATAGCCACAGCAATCTTGAAAAAGAAGAACAAAGTAGGAGAGATCACAATATCAAATATCAGGTTATACTACAAATCCACTGTAATGAAAACAGACTGGTACTGGCACAAGAACAGGCATATAGATCAATGGAACAGAACAGAGAACCCAGAAATTGACCCAAGACAATATGCTCAATTAATATTTGACAGAGGTGGCAAGAACATACAGTAGAGTCAAGATGATCTTTTCAATAAATGGTGTTGGAAAAACTGGACAGCTATATGCTGAAAAATAAAGCTAGACCACCAACTTACAACATACACAAGAATAAACTCAAAATGGATAAAAGACTTAAATGTGACTCATGAATCCATAAAAATCTTAGAAAAAAAATGTAGGCATCACAAAATTTCAGACATCACATGCAGCAGAATTTTCACTGATACAACGCCTAAGGCAAGAGAAACAAAGGAAAAAAATGAAACTACATCAAACTAAAAAGCTTCTGCACAGCAAAAGAAACAACAATCAAAATGGAAAGGGATCCCACTATATGGGAGAGTACTGTATTGCCATATAGTGAAGTATTGCCAATGATACATCACATAGGGGGTTAATTTCCAAAACACATAGAGTACTCATACAACTCAACAAAAAAGACAAAGAACCCAATTTAAAAATTTAGAGGACCTAAAGAGACACCTCTTCATACAGGACATACAAATGGCCAAGAGACATATAAAAAAATTCTCAACATCACTAATCATCAGAGAGATGCAAATTGAAACAACTATGAGGTATCACTTCACACCCGTCAGAATGGCTGCCACCAACAGATCATCAAATAACAAGTACTGGTGAGGATGTATAGAAATGAGGACTCTAGTACACTGCTGGTGGGAATGTAGACTGGTGCAGCCACTATGGAAAACACTATGGTGTTACCTCAAAAAATTAAAAATTGAATTGCCATTTGACCCAGTGATCCCACTTCTAGAAATATGTCCTAAGAAGCCTGAAACACCAATCAGAAAGAATGTATGTACCCCTATGTTCATAGCAGCACTATTTACAGTCGCTAAGATCTGGAAACAGCCTAAGTGCCCATCAATAGATAGGTGAATATAAAGCTGTGGTACATACACACAATGGAATACTATGCAGGTGTAAGAAAGAAAGATCCCTTATCCTTTGAGATGACATGGTGGGACCTGGAGAGCATTATCCTAAGCAAAACAAGCCAATCAGAGAAAGACAAATATCACATGATCTCACTTATTTGTGGAATACAGTGAACAAAACTAACTGATGAATAAAATAGACCCAGAAACACAGAAGTAGGGTACAGACTGAAAAACCTCTAAAGAGGGAGTGTGGGAGGAGGGAAGAGATAAACCACAGTACTTATTTGCGTGTATGCATAACCAATGAACATAGACAACATTGTTGGGGATGGGGCAGGGGATGGGGATCAGGGGGAAGGTGTCAATGGGGGGGAAAGGAGAAACATCTGTAACAAAAATAAATAAAAAAATAAATTTAAATCAAGTTGAGAAGATTAAAAAGGGTAACTTTGTAAGAACATAATTCGTGTCACATGACACAAAAGCCACCCATGAAGTCAGTATACAGTGGAAATTGTATAAGGTGTGGTATGTTAAATTCTGCTGGTTGAGTCTAGAAGGTATCACAGAGGAAGAAACTGGTAAAGTACGGTATAAAAAACTGGTAAGGCTCTGTTAAGGCAGTTTGAGAGTGTGAGTGACATTCAGTTCAGAAGGAGCTGCAGACATAGTGGAAAGGAGGCACACATGAGGAAGCACAATGAAATATGCCTGAGTGTAGGATGTGAGAAAGTCACGGAGGTGGGATTGGAAAGTTAGTCTGGGTATTAGGAAAGGCTTTGTATGTCAGGTTAAGAATTTTATCCTACAAGTGATGGGGAACTTCAAAAGAAGTTTGAATAGACCTGAGTAAATTTGTGTTTTTGAAAAGTCACTCTAGAAATAATGTCAAAAATGAGTCATAGGGTTAAGGTGGTAAATTTTGTGTTATATATATTTTACCCCAATCAATCAGTGAAGGGGCAAAAATGCAGGAACAATCTGCAGAAAAAATAATGAAGATCTGGACCAGGGGAGAGGCAGCTGGGACAGTGTGATGGGATGGATTCAACAGAAGGGAGAAGACAGAGTGGCTGCTGGATGTGGGGAAAGGGGATGTAATTTGATGAACTCAGCAGATGGTAAAGTCATTCCCTGAGAGGAAATTCAGTTTGAAATATGTCAAATTAGAAGGACATGGAAAATCTCAGGTAGAGATGACTGGTGTGTGACTCAGTCTGGAGCTTAGAAATAAAAAGTCTGAGCTGTAAGTAATGTTTGGAGAATCACCAAAGAATAGGTGAAAAGTAAATATTCAAAAAAAAAGAATAGAGGACAGGAATATCAGGTCAAACTGAACCTGGTGACAAGCTTGGCTTGCTTCCTATTTTGTTCCTTTGCCCTTAAAATGTTCTGAGAAATAGGAGGATGAGTGATATGTATCATTGCATATTAAGCTATTAAGCAAAATTATTCAGAAAGGTAAATACTTAAAAATACAGGAAAATCTAGAATGGAAATTTGGGATTAAGAAGTATGATGGATTTAATTTACAGTATAAATATTATTAAACACCTATCACAGTACTTGGCACATAGTAGATGCAAAATTAAATGTTTATGGAGGACTTTAAGTATGAACTTCCGTATTCAGTTTCTTGAAGTCTATAAAATTGAAGGCTTGGCACACATCTTTAAGTCAATGGGTATTATCATTAACTTTTCATAAACACTATTCAAGTACAGTACTGACTTCTATGTAGAGTATAAATAATCTAATTATTTAAAATAAAATAGAGAGGCAGTATCAATATGTAGTTTTATGTTGGAAGAAGACTATGTTTTTTCCCATAAGGATGATGCCCTAAGCTTTCCTTCTTCACAATCCTAAACTAATGTGACCCTTAGTGCCTCAAAGAAGAAAATATTTCATTTGAAAGTATTTGGCTTATTTGGAAAGCTGGCAGTAAGGATAACAGAGTATCTCTTTCAAAGGAATTAAGGGAGGCAAATTCACATCATGCTCTACTAGGATGACTTTTGCTAGGATGTCGCTAGTCAGTACTGGGGCACTTGCCTACCTTAGGATAGAGGACACCACAGGGCTTGATTTAGCAAACGATCAAGAGCTATTTCAGACTCCCCAGTGTCCTGCAGAGTGAGGTATACCTCGGAAACTCGAGCTGACATTTAATTTTATGTGAATACTGCTAGTAGTCAGCATTAGTTTTTTCTACTAAAGGAAATCCTCAAGCCATCTAAGAATTAACTGTTTACTTAACAGTTCAATTCTTTTTTTCTCCTGGGAGAGAATGAGAGGGGGAGAATGCATTCTGAATGGTTAAAAAATAAATAAATAAAACAGTTCTAAATCCTGCTCCATTCATTCATTCATTTACAGAAATACTGAGTTATTACTGGACACCAACTGAGAATATTAGATGCTGAGGTAATATGAAACTCTTATCTTTTTACTTTCTTTTATAAATAAAATATTGGGTTTGTTTTTTCTTTCCATTGTAGTAAATCTTCATGTCTAGTTGGGCGAAATAAACCCCAAACCAAAAAAACCCCACAAGCTCCTCATTCTATCTACTAAAAATTTAAAGTAGAAAACATGGTAAAACTCTATAATTTGTGACATGTTCTGAAGCTATAAAATACCTGTTTGGAAAAGTGCTAGCATAAATAGCTCTCTCAATAAATTCCCAATGCAACTACATTTAAGATAAACCTATGGTAGAGCTTCATCCATAAACTTGTCTGGATTTTTCTTACCTAGCATCACATGTCTACCATGTAGGGAGAAGCCAGGGACAGTGATTAAGTCAAATGAAGAAGGGAATAAAAATATGAGGAAGCCCATAAGGATATGGAGTAATCAAACAGAAGCAGAAAAAAATTGTGTGAAATTCATCAGTTAATGTGAAGTTCAAGGAATATACACTTATTATAGTTGACCTCCTCAAACATTCTAACAGCAAAAAAGTATGTAAAAATAAAATTCATAGAAAATGAAATTTATAAGTGGTAAATTATACAATGTACACATATGATTTTGAAAAAGCAAGTGATTGAGAACTTAAAAATGATATCCAGTTATTGGAAAAAGATTCTTTTGAAGCATGTATTGTAGTACTCCTTGTCTTTTTAAAGAGAAAAACTGAAATCTAACCAGCTTTAGGAGAAGGATGGGACTTTATAGAAGTGGACTCATAAAGAAAAGGAAGTAAACTTGTGGTCTAATCCAGTAGTTCTTAAACTTTTTTATTTGAATCCCTTTTATTCTTAAAAATTACTGAGTACCCCCAAAGAGTTGTGGTTTTAGTAGAGTTTTATATAGTGATATTTATATTAGGAATTAAAACTGATAAATACTAAGAATTTTTTTATTAATTTGCTTATAAATAACAAACCCATCAAATATTAACATAAATAACTTTTATGAAAAATAACTATTTTTCTAAAACCAAAGTAAAACAGTGAGAAGAGTGTCTTGCATTTTTGTAAATTTCTTTACTATTTGGTTTAATAGAAGAGAACTGGATTCTCATATCTGCTTTTGCATTCAGCCTGTTAGAATATCAGAAATCATGTATCATTGGGAAAATTCCTCTGGACACTCATGAAAGAATCATAGTAAAAAAGGCAAAACCTGACCCTGGCCGGTTTGGCTCAGCAGTTAGATTGTCAGTCTGCGGTCTGGAGAGACCTGGGTTCAGTTCCCGCTAAAGGCACGTACCTCAGTTGTAGTTTGTCCCCGGCCCTGGTTGGGTTGTGTGGGTGGCAGCCACTCGGTGTCCCTTTCACATCGATGTTTCTTTCTCTCTCTCTCCCTCCCACTCTATCTGAACAAAATATCGAAAAATGTCCTCAGGTGAGGATTTAAAAAAAAGGCAAAGCTTGTCTTAGTATTAAAAAAAAGCTTTGATCTTGAGTATCCTTCAAAGGTCTCAGAGACTTCCCCAGACCACACTTTGAGAGCCACTGCCCTAGTTCATTCTCCTTATTTTACATATAAGGATGCTGGATCTCATGGAGATTAAATGAGAAATCCAAAATTAGATAGAATGATAGACCACAGATCCTAGAAGGTTTTTCTCACTTCTCTTGCTTTAGGTTCTCAATCAGAAACCTAGAAAATATACCCTACTAACCTGTTCTGTTCACTCTAGTTGCAAGGACTCTCACAATATATTACCAAAAATCTTTTGTCTCAGACAAAATAGAAGAGAAAAATCAACAAATATGATCTATTCCACCACAGACACAGTGTTAGCATCTCTATTTGAGCTGAAAAACTAAAGCAAAGTCCACTGCACTCTACTCCATACAAGCTGGTAATGACAAACTACACAGAAAATATCAGAGAGAAATATGAAAAGCAGATTACATTATCACCATCTATCACATTTTCTGAGTCTAGAATATAATTCATAACATAATCCCAGAAAAATTTTCACAAATACTAGCTGATTGGGTAGTAGGTATATTAAGGGACTGAAAATAAACTGGTAATTATATAAAACTTTTCAGATAAATGGAGTTATGAAATACAGATATTTTTCATTCTCTGACTGAACCTTATTTTGTATTTTTTTTAAATCAGGTAATCTTCTTGTTCATCCAGAAATGATTTCCTCCATATCCTACTAGATGATTCAAATCTTCTTTAAATGGATTGTAGCCTTGTTCCTTTAAACAACGTAGTGCCCAGAAAAGCTGGTCCAGTGGAGGAAATTCTTCCCAAGGAACCCACTCCCAACCTAAAAAAGAAAGAGACCAAATCAATTTATGTAGCTGAAAGGAAACAAAGATGATTTATTTGGGCAAGTTAACCTATACTTTAAAAAAAATAAGTTTAAAAATAATTTGCTACTGATAAAAGAAAGTACAATAGTGATGTTATGTATTAATTTGACTATACAAAAGATTTGCGTTTAGAATGAAGCTTAAGGAGACAATGATGATCATTTAAAACATGCCATTATTTGAACATGAAGCCAAGTTTACAAGGTCCACAATGTAGTAAAACCCAGATATAGTATGATTCAATTTTCATTTAAATATTTGCTAAACAAAACACACAGAACTTGATATGCTAAAGATTAAATATTACGTTAAAATATTCCAGTTCCCTCACCTATCATATAAGGTAGATTACAAAATTTCTAAGCTCGCCTCCATCTCTTAAAAAAGTAATACAAGTTATAAAGAGAATAAAAAATATTCTGTGCCATGATATATATTAAATTGAAAGACAAATCAGAGGGGACTAAGTTTTTTCAAAAAATCTATTGAAGCAAGAAAGATTTAGCAGTGCCTATTAGTTGTAAAATAACTGAAATCTTAGGAAAAATATTCTAGGGAATGTTATTTTCTTTGATGTACATAAAAGCACAGATGCTCATGATAGGTGAATATATAAACAGTATAATATTAAGATTTATATTCCATGTTCTCAGTAAGTTTATGACTACATGAATATATCTATGTGTAAGTACTATTTCTTCCATTAACTATTTCTCTGCCTATGAAATACAGGTATGTATTTTTTCTCTGGAAAGGCATATGACAGAGAATCCATGAAAATTGGTGTAAGTTCAGGAAGGGCTGATCAGCAACTGTGACCACACACTAAGAGAGAGAGGAAGGGGCGGGAAGAAATAGAGATAGATAGATATTGCCCAACAAAATATTGCAAGATGTTAAGTTAACCGAGTCTCAAGAGAGCTGTCTGTAAAGCTTATCCCATCTCCTAGAAAAGGAAGTGTCTGGATGATCCTCCTGATGATGATCTGATGGTTGGAGAAAAGATGCAGTAACTGGTCAGCTGAGGCAGGACACCCAGATCCAGGACCTGCTGAACATGGGACAGAGGTTTCATCTCTACATTATAAATAAAACAGACTCACGGAGCATTGCACCTTGGTTAGGTTACAACTGAGAAAAAAAGTAAAAATAATTTTTGCTATTTTATTACTAAGGAATAGAGAGAGAACAAGTGTTTCTGATCAATTCTGATTTGGTGCTAGCAACCTTGGGGCTTATAAAATCACACCGCTTGACTTGAGATTACCAGCATGTCAGAGACTCAACCAAATGAAGGCAGACAAGCTCCAGGAGCTATATAAATGAATAAAAAGAACCACAAAGCATATAAAAATTACTTAAAAGTACTACACTTTAGGGGTAAAAAACAATATGTACAATAATATGGCAACAATAACTCTAATATGGAACTTCATAAAGGAGACTAGTAATATTTTATAAGTAATTTAAAAAGTAGGCCCTCACCGGGTGGTTCAATTCATTGGAGCATAGTCCCCTACACCAAAAGGTGGCAGGTTCCATTCCCAGTCAGGGTACATACCTAGGTTGTGTTTAATCCTGGGTTGAGACATGTACAGGAGGCAACTGATCGATGTTTCTCTCTCACTCTGTCTGTCTTTGCCCCTTTCACTAAAATCAATGAACATATCCTGGAGTGAAGATAAAAAAAATAAATGTTAAAAAAAATGTAGGCCAATCTAGATACCAAATTAGAGAACCTCATGGGAAGAGGTTTGCTTGCCTATTCATTCCCTTGTTCCTTCAGCATATTCTAACACTGATTATAAGCCAGGCACAGTCAGGCCCAGAAGAGTCAAAGATGAATGAGCCAAAATATCTGCTCTTTATAGATTCAAAGTTCATTAAAGGAAGAAAAGTATGAAGTTGAATTGTTGAGCTAAATTAGAGCTGTCTTCTGAGGAATAGGGGAAGATATCTAGAAGGCAACTAAAAATATAGGTCTGCAGCTCAGAAGAGCAAGATGAGAAGTTATTATTTGAACCAGGATTTGCTGACTCGAATCCCTTCAAAGACCAGGCAGGGCAGGAGAACGACTGAAGAAATGTAAAGAGGGCCATTTGGGTGAATGACACTTGTTAGCTAAACTGTGGTAGTCAGTAACTTTGGTGCTCTCTCCTCAGTACCTTCTCTATTAATAAATGCTTTCTATATCTGCTTCTTGTGAAGGATACTAAGCATGAAAAAACAACTATTTCAGCCCTGCCGGTGTGGCTCAGTGGATTGAACGTCATCCCTTAGACTTAGAGGTCCCAATTTGATTTGGGTTAGGGAACATGCCCAGGTGGCCAGCTCGATCCCCAGTGGGTGGTGGGGGTGTGTGTGCAAGAGGTAACCAAGCGATGTTTCTCTCTCATATGGATGTTTCTATCTCTCTCTCCCTTCTTCTCTCTCTAAAAAATCAATAAGAACATATTAAAAAAAAACACAACTATTTTATATTTATCTCTTCTAGTCTCAGGATATTTTGCCTATAGAAAAGATAAAAAGAAGGAAATGCTCATTCAAGATGAGGGCCCTACCTTAAAATAATAATCTGCTTATTACCTGAATAAATTATACTTCAAAACTAATTTTTAAAAATTCAGTTATATGTAATATATTTTGCTTCAAGAAATGTAAATTGAGTCCTACCAAAAGTACTACAATGGAAATATGCACATTTAAATTTCAATTTAATACTAAAAAGCCAATTAATCAATTGCTTCCCCCCACAGCTTCAGAATATCAAGACTACTGGTTTTTGTTGTCCTGGGTTCTACCCTCTCCAGTTACTTGTTTTATCTGGGATAATTAAGAATGTTAGAGATAGAAGGAACTTGTAGAGAATACCTTCAAAGAACCTGGCACATTTCTTACCTATCTCTTGTGCCTTCCACTTCTTTAGGCATGAATAATTTTAATTTACCCTAGGCCAACTGAAGGCCTTTGGATACTTTTGGGGTGTTTCTTTGTGTGATAAGTGATATAAGAAATATATATTTGGTCTTCATTCCTTTTTCCTGGCACAGAGTTCCTAAACCCTTTGAGTGACAGAGATGAGAAGAGCATCTTTCTTGTCCATAAAATACCCCTTTCAACTATATCTGAGTTTATGCTAATGAGATGACTGGCAGCTGGGGGCCTCTAGATAGCTTCAGGATGGAGGCTGGTCACCAGAAAGACCAGGGTATGATTAGAGGGTTGGTACTTCCAGCCCTACCCCCTGATCCCACCTTAGGGGAGAGAAGGGAAGATTGAGATTGAGTCAATCAACAATAGACAATAATTTAATCAATCATAAGTTCTTAGTAATGGAACCTTTTTAAAACTCTACACACTCAGTTTGGAGAGCTTCTGAGTTCGTGAATACATCAAAATGCTGAGAGGGTAGCTTGCCCACCCAGAGAGGGCATACCTTGCCCTGTGCATCTCTTCCATTTGGCTGTTCCTGAGATATAATCTTTATAACAAACTGGTAATTTAAGTAAAATATTTTTCTGAGTTCTGTGGGCCATTTTAGCAAATTACTGAACCTTGAGAAGTGGGTAGTGGAAAACTCCAGTACATATGTGGTCAAAATTACAGGAGGCCAGGACTTCTGCCTGGTGTTTGCAGTGGGGCAGTCTCGGGGATTGAGCTCTTTAACTTTTGGGATCTGATGGTAATTCTGAATAGAGTGTCAGAATTGAACTAAAACAAAGACCAGCCAGTTGATTTTGGGAGAGCTGGAGAATTGGTTGATATGAGGAAAAAACACACACATTTGGCATCCAAAGTGTTGTGAGTAAAAACAACTCAGCTCAAAGACTTTGTTAGTTCATTTTAGGTGATTCCAAGTAGTTATTTTATTAGAAATTTGTATGACTCAATAGACTATCAGGTAGAATATGCCTTTCTGTTCATTCAGTCAAATCAATCTCTAAAACATATAAAACATGATTTATTCATTCTATAAATATCACTTCCTCCAGACCTCTGCATATTACGTCCCCTTCTCAGAGGCCCTTATGACCATCCCGACACAGCACACATGCAGCACTATCCTTACACAGCTTTTTCTCTTTTTTTATTTATTTTTATTTTTTAAATCTTTATTGTTGAATGTAGAATGTATTACAGATGTTCCACATTTTTCCCCCATTAAGATATTAATGCATAACCAATGGACATAGACAATAGTGTGGTGAAGTTGGAGAATGGGGGCAGGGAGGAGGGGGGGGTCAATGGGGATAAAATAAGGAGGGACATGTGTAATACTTCCAACAATAAAGATAAATCTTTTTTATTTATTTTTTTGATTTTTTTAAATTTATTTTTTATTTATTTATTTTTTTAAATCTTTATTGTTGAATGTAGAATGTATTACAGATGTTCCACATTTTTCCCCCATTGACCCCCTCCTCCCCACTCCCACCCCCCTCCCACCTTTTCCCACACTATTGTCTGTGTCCATTGGTTATGCATATAAGTTCTTTGGTTTATTTCTTCCCACCCCCCAACCCCTTTCCCTTTGAGGTTTGTCATTCTAGCAATGAATTTGTACTTCTTAATCCCTTCATTTTTTTCACCCATTCCCCCAACCCCCCTTCCATCTGGCAACCAACAAAATGTTCTCTGTATCTATGAGAACGTTTCTGTTCTACCTGTTCATTTTGTTTGTAGATTCCATTGTCGATAGATATGTATTCATTGACATTTTGTTTGTTCATATATCTTATCTTTTTCTTCAAAAAGACCCTTCATCATTTCATATAATAACGGTTTGGTGGTGATGAACTCCTTTAACTTTTTCTTGTCTGGGAAACTCTTTATATGGCCATCGATTCTAAATGACAGCTTTGCAGGATAGAGTAATCTTGGTTGTAGGTTCTTGCTTTTCATCACTCTGAATATTTCTTGCCACTCCCTTCTGGCCTGCAAAGTTTCTTTTGAGAAATCAGCTGACAGCCTTATAGGAACTCCCTTTAGGTAACTAGCTGCCTTTCTCTTGCTGCTTTTAAGATTCTCTCTTTGTCTTGAACCTTTTGCATTTTGATGATGATGTGTCTTGGTGTGGGCCTCTTGGGGTTCATCTTGTTTGGGACTCTCTGTGCTTCCTGGACTTGTATGTCTGTTTCCTTCACCAAGTTAGGAAAGTTTTCTGCCATTATTGTTTCAAACAGGTTTTCAATTTCTTGTTCTCGCTCTTCTCCTTCTGGCACCCCCAAGATGCGAATGTTGGCACGCTTGAAATTGTCCCAGAGGCTCCTTACACTATCCTCATTTTTTTGGATTCTTTTTTCTTTTTGCTGTTCTGATTGGGCGTTTTTTGCTTCCTTGTATTCCAAATCGATGGTTTGCTTCTTGGATTTACGTACTCTACTATGAAGCTGTGTAAATTATTCTTTATTTCAGTTAATGCCTCCTTCAATTCTGACTGTGCATCCATCATTTCTGACTGGCCCTTTTTTATGCTCTTAAGTTCATTGAGCATCCTTATAAGCAGTATTTTGAACTCAGCATCTCCATTTCGCTTAGTTCTTTGCTTAGGGTTTTGTTCTGTTCTTTCATTTGGGACCTGTTTCTTTGTCTCCTCATTTTGGCTGCCTCCCTGTGTTTGTTTCTGTGTATTACTTAATGAGTGGTATGGGGCTACCTGAGACCAGATGCTGCTTGTTTAAAAGAATTTAGGAAAAACCTGAAGCAGGATCCAAGACAGGCCAATCCTATGGTTAAGCAAGTGGCAACAGCTTGGGTGGGCCTGAAAGTTGGGTGGGGTGAGGTGGGGTGGGGCCGGGGCAGGGGGGGGGGTACTCAGGGAGTCACCAGGGCGGGACTACCAGTGTGAGCCAGGTTGTTGGAGTCCCAGATATGGAAGCTGTCTGCTGCCCCAGGGAAGGGCTCACCAAAGGAAAAAAGGCCTCTGACAGCACGTTTGTCCCGGAGAAAGCCCCCTCTCTAGCCCTCGCTCCAGTGCCAAACTGCTCAGTTCTTCCCTGTATGTCTCTGGTGCCCCTCGAGCTGCCTCCCCTCCAAGCTTAGAGGGAGAGAGTCCGATAAGTCCGTGCGCGAGCCCTTTAAGGAGCTGCCTGGGGCTCCAGCTGCTTTAATATCCCTGAGCCTCAGTTCCCGCTGGTTTTTCCAGCCAGAAGTTATGGGGACTTCTCTTCCTGGCACTGGAACCCTGAGTGGGGCACCTGGTGTGGGACAGGGATCTCTCATTCCTCAGGAAGGACCTTCCCAGCCGAGGTATCCTGATTTTTATCTGCCACACGTGGGTGTGGGACCAGCCTGTCACACCGCTGCCCCTCGCGCCTCCGCCCCTCCTACCAGCCTGGATGTGGCTGCTGCTTTAATTTCGTAGTTGTAGGACTTCCATTCAGCTTGATTTCAGGCAGTTTTGAATGATGGTTGTTCTGTAGTTTAGTTGTAACTTTGATGTGGTTGTGGGAGGACGTGATACCTCGTTTACCTACGCCGCCAACTTGACCGGAAGTCAGCTTTTTCTCTTTATTCCTTATCATTGCCATTGTAAAATATCTGCCAACTTGTTGCCCCCACCCACTAAATTGCAAAGTCCAGGAGGACAGAGACTTCATTCTGTACACCACTGTTTCTTTACTGCCTGCCTAGAACAGTGTCTGGCACACAGTTCTCTGTCAGCATTTGTTGACTGAAAAGTGTCTTCAATCTTAAAAAAAAAATTAAATTAAAGGTTAAGGTCCACTACATGAGACCACTTGAATAAAGTTTCATATGGAAATAATATATTCAGGAAGTTTCATATTTTTCTCTTTTGTTCCTTTTCTCATGAATTTCTATAAAATTTGAAGAGATGACACATGCAAACGCCTTAACATCGAGTAAATAAGAAACATCAGTTATTACCATTCAAGTTTCCAGAGCAGTCAATTCAACACAGAAGGTAGCAGATAACTGTATTGTCAGGTTAATGACTCTCTGTAAAAGAAAGTTATTACCTCTCTTGTACAGGTGAGAAAACTGAGGAAGGCACATTAAATGTTTTATTTTATATCATAGTTTGTAAAAAATTAAACACTAACAATAAAACTAACATTTATGGAATACTTACTGTGTTCACCAGGTTCTTAAATGCATTAACTAACCTGCACCTTACAACAACCCCTTACTATTATCCCAAATGAGAAAAGAGGTACAGAGCCAATAATAACTTCCCCAGGGTCACACATTTCTAAGTGGAAGAATCAAAATGCAAACCAAGTAGTCTAGCTCAGGTGCCAGTTCTCTTTCCCACTATGTCCTTATGACTCCAGCATTTAAGTATATTTATATTTCTATATGAAGAGAATCTGATTTTCCTCATATGGCCACATAATGTAATATTCCTTTAAATGATATACTCTTCTAAAAAATGCATTACTATAGATCATTCTCTTACTTTCATTTTTTTCAGGCTCTACATTTTTAGGTTCTGAATCATGAGTCAGATCCACTTCTCCTTTCATTAGTATAGTGACATAATGGTAATTCTCTTTCTCAATGAAAGAATTCACAACGGAGGCAAAGCGAACATTTTTCAGGTGAAGAGCTGCTTCTTCCCAGGTTTCCTTTTGAGCACATTCTTCCCAGCTTTCACTGGAAAAAAGAAACACACTATTGTAATCAATTCCATTTATTTTTTGAAAGAAATTCTTGGCTAGAAATTTCTAGTGTAAAGCAAAAAGAAGTATAATTGGTTCATGCTTTAAAACAATAAATCAAGCCCTGTCTTTGACATTCTGTATATCCTGTATCTAGTTATCTGATGACAAAAAGGACTTCATATTGAAGAATAAAAGGTGACCATTTAGCCAGTTCAGTACGAGTTCAGGTGCCTGGAAGCCGTATGCAACCATAAGGCAGTTTAGTATATTAGTTAAGAGCACAAGCTTTGAAGTCAATTAGACCTAGATTTGAGTTTGAAGTCTATTACTTCCTACCTTGGATAAGTAAAAAGAGAATAATGTTAGTTTATCATGGGTTGTTGTTAAGTGTATCAAGAAGTGAACTATGTCTTTTTCTGTTGTCTCAGAATTTCAGTTTAAGCCTCAAAATTGAGAACAATAGTCAATATGCACCTCTCAATTCCAAAGAGGACAGCAAAAGAGCAAACATGCCATGTCAACTCTAGGGTTTGCTAAGGAAGGCCAGACTACTCACTCTACCCCATCTACACTGAAAGTCAGATCTTTGGGAGGGAGGAAAGTTGTGTTTTCAGCCTGGTAGGAATGTTTCCCTTCTTCCCAATGAGGGGCCAAATCTGCCCCCAAACCAAGTGAGGGGTCTCTAGGAGATTTAGTCCTAGAGATTGGGTGTGACTCCCAAGGAGATACTGGCCATGTCACTCTCCTGCTAAAGACACACATGGTGAGTTGCAGAAACTCACAGGCCTACCCCAATGCATCAGGGTAAGAGGTCTTGGGTAAGTCTGAAATGTGTCCCTTGGTGTGTAGGGATGCATGTGAACACAGAGGCTGATACTTATCCCCATTTTGAAAATTTGAATGGAAGGAGACTAAGTTGAGCAGCCCACAATGACTGAGCAAGGAAAAAGGGCAGCAGTGGAAGCATTATTTTAATTGCTCTAGTAATTATACATTCTAAGTAGTGCTTAGTTTGTAATCTAAATTTGACCCACCAACAATTGACAAAGTAATATGATGTGCCTATCTGGGCAATTTACTTTTTAATCTGGAAATTTTATTATTTATCAACTGATGGCTTATGTTAATTCCCTGAAAATGATAAACTTACTGATGCTTTTTAAAATTCTGAAGACCATTTATTTATTTATTTTTTAATCCTATCTTCCCTAAACCAAGGACACTTAAGGATTTTGTGTGTGTGTGTGTGTGGTATGTGCCCCTAGCAGGAACCGAACCCAGGATTCTCTGGTCCGCAGGGCGATGCTCAACCGCTGAGCCAAACTGGCCAGGGCCTGAAGACCATTTAAAAAATTCCTTGTGCTGAATGACCATAAGAATTCCATGGTTTATAAAGAACAAACTCTGATTAAAAGGCACTAGTATTAAGCCCCTACTTCTAACTGCCTCTTTATAACATAGCATGGGGGGAAAGGGGAGGGGAGTTAGGGTTACAGATTATAAAAATGTGTTAACCACATGCAATATGTGCCCCTCCTTTGATATCAATTGGTACAAAATAGTAAAAGGACATTTTCAAGACAATTGGGGAAATGGCAAAGACTGGATATGATATTAAATAATTATTTTGTTAAGTGTGAACAAAGTATGTGGTTATGTTCTTAAAATTTTTTTACATTACCAAATTCATTTATTAAATCTAGTATATATTTTCCTTTTAAAATTAGACTTTATTTTTTAGAGCACTTTTAGGTTCACAGCAAAACTGAACAGCAACTACAGAGAGTTCCCATACACTGCCTGTCCTGGTATATGCGAAGCCTTTCCCACCATCAACATGGCCCACCAGAGTGAGACATTTGTTGTAATCAATGAGCCTGTGTTGATACATCATCACCACCCAGGTTCCATAGTTTGCATTAGGGTTCACTCTAACCTTATTTTTCATGTGGGGTCTTAAGAGTAAGTTCAACACCAGTATCCACACCAGGCTGGCCCATAAATCTAGTAGATTTTTGATGGAGTCCTCAGGATTTTCTATGTACAATATCATGTCATCTGTGAATAATGACAGTTTCACTTCCTCCTTTCCAATTTGGATCCCTTTTATTTTTTCTTCTTATCTAATTGCTGTGGCTAAGACTTCCAGTACTATGTTATTAAATAAGAGTGGCAAAAGTGGGCATCCCTGTCTGGTTCCTGTTCCTAAGGGAAATGATTTTAGTTTTCACTCACTGAGTATGATGTTGGCTGTAGGCTTTCATATATGGCCTTTATTATGTTGAGATATGATACCTCTATTCCATTTTGTTGAGCGTTTATTTTTTATTCATTTTAGAGAGAGAGAGAGGAGGGGAGAGGGCGAGAGATGGAAACATCAATGAGAGAGATCATTGATTGGCCAACTCCTGCATGCTCCCCACTGGGGATCTGGCCCACAACCTGGCCTTGTGCCCTGACCAGGAGTTGAACTGGTGACCTCTTGGTGCATGGGTTGACACTCAACCACTGAGCCACACCAGCTAGGATGCTGAGCGTTTTTATCAGAAATGGGTGCTGGATTTTGTTAAATGCTTTTCCAGCATCTACTGATATAATCATATGATTTTTAACTTTCATTTTGTTTATGTGGTGCATCACATTGATTTGCGAATACTGTACCAGCCTTACATCCCTGGGAACAGACTAACAAACCTCAGAGGGGTGGGAAGAGATAAACCAAAGAACTTAAAAATGCATATTTGCACAACCAGTGGACACAGACATTAGGTTAGGTAAAGGGGTGGGGTGTCAATAGGGAAAAAAGGGGGACATCTGTAATACTTTCAACAATAAGAAAAAGTTTACTACAGATACATACTAAACTGTTTAGGAGTGGCATACTAGGATGTCTGAGATATCCTGTAAAATGGTTTAGAAAACACGGGTTGTGTGGGAGAAGCAGTAAAGAGACAACAAGTGGAGCGATGGGTAAATAAGGATTCACTATTTACTTTACGTACCTTTGGAACTTTTTATACTAAAGGAAAAACAAGCACTGGATCTGAATGGTTTGGACGCTGTTTGCCTGATATTAACTTGAACCTTATTCTCACTTCGCCTTTGGGCACAATCTTCGCCCAGTGTAGAACTGTCTCTTAACGGTCCAACTATGTCCCTCTAATGTATCATCAAATCACAGAATGCCAAAGCAGAGAGGGATTTTCAAGAGCATTTCGTCCTCCTTCCCCATTTTAAGGATGGGGAGACTGAGGCTCAAGTTTCACTAGCTCGAAACTGATACTTACGCAGGCAGGAACTAGTCAATGTACCTGCGTACGTTTAAATTACCGGGAAACCGCAAACATCTTAACTGACAACGCTGCACTGAGGTTTAGAAACGCCCCCCTTGCGTCTTTTCCGATTAAGCACTAAGAAGAGCACATCTCACAAACTAAAGCAGGTACGGACACCAAAGCTCTGTACCAGGACACCCTTCTTCCACCCTTTTCCAGCTCGGAACCGCCGATCGGCCTGCGCCTTCGCGCAGAGCCCCAACGGAAGCAACTGGCGAACGCGCAAGGACACAGCGCTCGCTCGCTCGCTCGCACGCACGCACGCACGCACAGCACGGGCTCTTCCTCCCGTGCACGTTCCGCCTTCCCCAGGTCGGCCAGGCGCTGCTTACCCGAACTCCAAGTGACCCCCAGGAAGTTGGAAACTGCCAGCTCCAAACGACCCTTTCCTCTTTCCCAGGAGGACACAGCGAGGATGCCTAGTGCTAGTCACCACGACTCCCACCCCAACTCCAGGCCGCGGCGCCCGCGGCTCTGCGCGTGCCGTCATAGCGCCAGAGGACCTGGAGAGCCTCTGCGTAAGTGACGCTCGCCCCGCCCCCAGGGCCTCCACCAATCCCTCCCTGCGCTGGCGTGCGTGGCTTTGTGTTTGCTACTGTGTCACCTAGTGGCTTTGGCTGTAGTAAGTGCTCTCGAAAACGCTGTATGTGAGGGCTCCGTTTTTACAAATGCTATTTTCTATTTTGTTTTCAGTATTCTTTGTTCTCAGATTTCTCCAAAGGATGCATTTACCAGCCACCTGCTTTTATAGACATCCTCTTTTTCCTTTGATCTTCACCACAGTAAACTCATTCTCACTATGTTTCCGGTCAGTGTGGTACCAGGGCAAGGACACACAATGTAGAAACACTTTAATATAGATAATAATATTCACAAATCATGGGGGAAACTAGAACTGGACAATAATTGTTCTGGGAGTTTGTAACATATTGGTTTTTTGCACACCTTTAACCAACACAAAATCCCAGCTGAATCAGAGTTGTAATGAAAACAAACTAAAATTCTCTCTCTAGATGGGGAGGATTACCTTTTTATAAAATTAACATAAATTGTTTTACTTCTACCAAAGTAATGTAGACATAATTTAAAAAGGTCAAATGGTACCAAAAAAAAAAGGCAACAAGAACAATCTTACCCTCTAGTCTTTCTAATTCATTGAACTGTTATTTGTGATATCTGTTTACATATTTTGAAGAAATATGTTTATTCTGCATTTTATAGTAAATAAAGATGATTAAGTTTTGCTACAGTATCTAATCACAAACACATCTTCAGTGTTCTGTGCATCACAAAGGTATTCTGTAATATTTTTCCAAATAAAAATTGGCAACAGGTAAAAAAGAGAATATATCATGACTGAATGGATTATTCTCAGAAATACAAGTTTGGCTTAAAATTTGAAAAGTCAATCAGTGTAATTTATCATTAGTAGATGGAAAAGGGGAAACACATATAATCATCTTAATAGATGCAGGAAAAAATTGACAAAATTAAGTACTCATCCATGATTTTTAAAAAATCTTTAAACAAACTAGAAATGAAATGGAACTTGAACAACCTTATATAGAGTATCTATGAAGGCCTGTAATTGACAGCATTTTTAATTATTATGGGCTGAATCAGTCCTGCCCCAAATTCATATGATGAAATTCTAACCACCAGTGCTCATTATGTGACTGTTTTTATAGATGGGAGTCATACAAATTTTAAAAAATGATAGGATTCATAAAGAGATCATTTAAATGAGGTCATTAAGGTGGGTCCTAATCCAGTAGGACTCATGTCCTTAAAGAGGGGGAGATTAGGACACAGACACAGAAAGAAGACCATGTGAAGACAGCCATCTGCAAGCCAAGGAGGGAGGCTTCAGAAAAATCTACCCTGCTGACACTTTGATCTTAGACTTTTCGATTCCAACACTGTAAGAAAAAAAAATTTCTGTTGTAGTGCTTTGTTATGGCAGCTCTAGCAAACTAATACAATTGTGAAAGACTAAGGTTTGAGAGAAGCAAGGATATCCACTCTCAGAACTTTTAGTTATATTTCTGGAGGTTCTGGTTAGAGAAACCAATAAAATCAAGAAAAATCAATAAAAGATAGTTAAATTGGAAAAGAAGAAGTAACTCTATTCATGGATGAATCTCAGTTTCATTATGCTAAGTGAAAGAAACAATAAAAAAGACTGTCTGCTATATGATTCCATTTATATGACATTATGGAATAGGCAAAACTGTAAACACAGAAAACAGGGCAGTATTTGCCTGGGGCTAAAGGTTGACTACAAAAGGATGCGAGGGATTTTTTTTGGGTGAAGGAACTGCTCTACCTCTTGATTTTGATGGTGGTAACAAGACATGTTTGTCAAAACTCAAAAAACTGTACACTAAAATGAGAAACCTCAATAAATCTGACTTTTTAAAAAAGCAAAGTACAGTGTGGACTTGCAGAAAGAAAAAGTCAAGATGCAATTCATCAGCAGAGAGGCTCAAGACAGTATAACGCTAACCTGCCAAAAGTTGTCATCCCTCCCCCCAAAATTGTCATCCTCATGGGTGAAGTTGTATCTTTGTAGACTATATTGTTTCTTGGGAAGCTAGACTTAGACTGGAGCTGGGCAAAGCAGGTTCCTCCTTTTACAGGGCCTTAGAGGAGTTGGGGAGCCTGAGCTTTGGAGGATAATGATGTTCATGGTCACAGGCATTCCAGTTAGAGAGAGTAGGCTACTTGTAAAATATAGTTGGAAGCCAGGGGCTAAAATGGGTGGGTAAGGAAGGGCAGCCTGTGACATTCAGAAGTCACATTTAGTAGCCAGTTTAAAGTTTTGTTTTGTCTTATTTCATTGTCATTTTATTTATTTTAATTTTTATTTATTTATTGATTTTAGAAAGAGAGGAAGGGAGAGGGAGAGGTAGAAACATCGATTAGAGGGAACATCTATTGACCACTGCCTGCATGCCCTCACTGGGGACAACATGGGCATGTGCCCTGACTGGGAATCGGACCGGCAACCTCTTGGTGTATGGATCGACACTCAGCCACACTGGCCAGGCTGTAACTTTATTTTAATATTCCAAAGCCTTAGAAAGTCTGATTATATATTATGGCCTGATCTTAACTGCACTTTGAAGAATTGGAATAGGCCTGGGTATAACACCCATTGTAGTCAGAACAGTGATTAACATATAAGTGCCCAATAAATAAATACTTAAATGAAACCTTCTCTTCTCATTATCAGTGTAACCAAATAGTTTCGATATATTTAAGGAAACCAGAAAACAATGTTTCCCAAAATTTTTATACTGTATGTAAAAAGGTGGCATGATTCACATGAAATACTTGAATAATAACCCCTTTCCTTTTTCATCAGCATCTGTCTCATGAGTTTGGTTTTTGTGGCAGCAGTCTTGAATTCTGATTACAGTTTTGGCAAGCCAACCAGGAGTAAGTGGGAGCCCTCAGTGAGTCCTTGGGCTTTGGAGGGGGTTCCCCAAGCTGCCTTGGCAAACCAACTCCATGGAAGAAGTTAGGAGTCCCTAGCAGCTGCTGAGTGATTTTACTCGGGGAGTGTTTGCTCTCTCAGCACTGGTTGCCTGCTATGCCTGGTGGGGGCGGGGTGGGGGATGGAGGAAATGGGTTGTTGGTTGGCTGACAAGCCCAAACTGGGTAAAAGCTCCTGGTGTGCATGACCAGGATCCCCTGCCCCACCATTTAGAGTTCTTTGAACCATTTGGGATTCTGTAGGAATCAATAGGCACTACACGGTGGTAGGCACAGCTCAGTGACTAAAAAAAAAAAAAAATCTCAGTTTCCTGGTGTGGGATTTGGTTGGAGCACTGTAGGTTTTGGTATTTGGATTTTTATGTATTGTTTGCTTTTCTTGTTGCCTACATCTTGTGGGGTGTCTTAGTTGTGTTTTTAATTCAGGATGTTATTGCTAGGATTTAGTTTAAGAGTACTCATTTGTTTAAACTTTGTCTTTGCTTTAGATGTGGTTTTTGTTTCTGATTTGAAATGGCCAGCTTGCTCTTGGTTCCATCAGAAAGTTTGTTAAGTAATATTTTAGCTGACTAGTATGTGCAAGCTTTCATGTTGTTACATAATACAAAAGGATCTGAATTGATGGTTCTAAGAGGGAGAAAGATCTCATTCCCTTCCCAGACAGTAAAAGAAAAATGTGAGGAAATAAGTATTTTAAACACTCTAAATCCTCCTCCTGAAGGCCTGGGAACTGCCATGGTCCTGGGAACAATGAGGAAACTAATATCACCCCAAAACCCTGTGTAGGCTGTGGAAGCAGCAGGGGCCACTGCCCCACTTCAATATAAAGATGGAAAAATGGTACTTTTACATTCAAACCTCTGGAGGTCCAGGAGCTGCTGTAGTACTAGGAACAAGCCATGAAGCCTGATATCTCTCCCTGCCTCTTCTTGAGCCTCCTAGAAGCATCCACGGACACTAGATAATTATATTTTTCTCCCTACCCGATCCCTCCAGAATTTAAAAACTCTTAATGAATGGATACAATAAATGAATTAGTCTTGATCTGGTTATTTGACAAAAATGAGGGTGGTTTTAGAGGGAAAAATGTGTTTCAATAGAATCTGTAACACACAGTTGTAGATATTAGACTCTAGTTCAGTTAATTATCTGTAAAATTTTATTTAGACTGGATCCTAAATTTTTCTAGTTTTCTGAAATATTTTGGCTACAACATCTTAACTTCCATGGAAATGGAAGACAAATTGTTAGAGGGGAATTGTAACAGTGGGAATTGTAACCCATCCCACCATTCTTTTGACATTGTTTCTGTAATGCTGACTCTCGCTAATATGTAGCTTGTAGATAAACAGCATGGTTTTATGAGAATCCTAGGAACTAACTTCAGAAGATGCAGACTCTGGCCTTCAGTTATCCCAGTTCTGGGAAGTTTGCTGACCTTCAAATGTAGAACCAGGATGACAAAGACCAGGATGATGCATGTTGCACCATCACTTGACCAGTTTCAAGATCCTTATTGGAATGGACTGAGCTGGACTGCAAGTAGAGAACTTTCCATCCTCTCCCCTTGTTAACCTTTGTTCTGCTTTCTCTTTCCTTCCTTATAAAAAGCTCTGCCTTCACTGAGATGTTGAGATGGGCTTTGTGACAAGAGTCTCCCATCTCCTCAGGTGACCAGCACTTGAATAAAACCTCTTTTCTTTTTCATCAGCATCTGTCTTATGAGTTTGGTTTTTGTGGTGGCAGCAGCAGAAACTGGGTTCCGGTTACAATTATGAAAGGGAAAAGGCACCAAGATGATGTTTATGAATCCTACAGGAGAAGTTATAAATCTACCCACTTAGATGTTACAAACTCTAGAGAATCCACATATCAGATTTCCCTTTTTCAGGGTTTTCAACTAGTGGAACAAGTTATACCAGTAGTTTTTGCGGCATTAGAACTAAACAGAGTTTCTTATTGCCTCTTCTCCTTTCTAGTTTATCTAGATTCCCAGCTGAAGG